AGCCCTGTGCTGTACCTGTCACAGCGAGCATGACGTCGCCTTTACCACGTAGTTTCCTGTGGCAGCCTGCCCCGTTCTCCCCTGCTCGCCCGCTGTGTGGGTGTGTTGGGGAGTTGCACAGACTCACTGCAGACCTGCAGAGATGTGCCTCTGCAGAGTGCCTGGGAAACTGGCACTGTATACATCCACACTATAGATATCTCAGTGAGGAATCTTGAATACTTCTGTTTCCCTGTTCTGTGCACTGAATCCCCTTAACAGGTGAGGACACAATTGATGCATTCCTGGAATGCATATTCCATAGAATCGCCTGGAGAAGAGAAGGTTCCATAGAGACCTCATAGCAGGCTTCCAGTATCTGAAGGTGCTACAAGGGAGCTGGAGGGGGACTCTTTGTTAGGAACTGTAGTGATAGGACAAGGGGTAATGGATTCAAATTGAAGCAGGGGAAAATTAGGCTAGATATTAGGAAAATGTTTATTCATGTGAGGGTGGGGAGATAACGTCACAGGTTGCCCAGGGAGATAGTGAATGCCCCAACCCTGGCAGTGTTCAAGACCAGGCTGGATGAGGCCTTGAGCAACCTGGTCTGATGGGGAGGTGTCCCTGGCCATGGCAGGGGGAGTTGGGACTAGATGATCTGTAAGGTCCATTTCAACACCTAAAATTCTATGATTCTATGAATATCCTGAGTTGAAAGGGACCCACAAGGATCATCCAAGTCCAACTCCTAACCCTGCACACGACAGCACCAGCAATACACCATGTGCCTGAGAGCATTGTCCAAACACTCCTTGAGCTCTGTCAGGCTTGGAGCTGTGACCACTGCCCTGGGGAGCTGTTCCCATGCCTAACCAGCCTCTGGGGAAGAACATTTTCCTGGCACCTCGTTGCACCTTGTCCTTAGAACCAGTGGCAAGAGAGGTGGTGGAAGTTATCCATATGTACCACTGGTTTATGTAATGTTTAGCTTTATTTTTTAAAACAATCTTTTAAAGTGGGTTTGGGCTCTCTAAGACTGATCTGTGACTCTACCAGAGCTTGATGGGTTGGTGCTATCAGGAGTCTTACTTCAGAAAGCAAAATCACAGTGTGAACTGCAGGTGTTAGACTTGGCCTTTGTGGACCACCATGAGAAAAGAGGATTTGTACAAGTTCTCATTCTGTAAATTCTCCGGTGGAGGTGTTTGTTCTGGCAATGGAGATAAGTTGTGAAATGAGGCTTGGAGTTTGTGTGAATGTAGAGCAACATCACAGCATTCACAGAAAACTGAGATCTGTTTTTATTGGCAGCACTCAATCCTTGTTTGCAGGTTACTGGGGTTGACAGAGTTACTGATTCTGAGTGGCTTGCTGTACATTCACACACTCTAATGCTTCCTGACCAAGTTAATCTTTCAGTTAGTTACTGCTGCATTCCTGGCCACTGACTAACAGCAGATTGCAGAGGAGCGTTGTAGCGCCATGGGGATGTTTGGTTTGAGAAGGTGTTGTGAACAGGTGTGTCCCTTGGCTTGTTTGGCTGCATGTCCCCAAGTCGCAGCTCTGTGGTCTGGTATCAACAAAGAGCAGATGCAGTCACACATCTGTCATGTTATCAAAGGAACTGACACAACTTTCATTTAGGAAATCTTAAGGTCTAAATTTTAACATTGAGTAAATTCTCCTGTAATAATAAAGATTAAATGTGTTTTAGTTGTGTTATGTGCAGCTCTTCTGAAGCTGAGCCTCCAGCTTGATACTGCTCCCAGTGATTCTGCTATTGTGGCTGTAGGTTTGATCTCTGATCTGGGACAGGGTATGACAATGCTTCTGTGTGTCTCTGCTAACAAATGCCTAAAGTCCCAGCTGTCCTCCATTTCCTCAACTAAGAGAATAGCTGAAACTTAGGTCCTTTTGTTTGAAAACTCAGAACACTGTGTGGAGCAACACCTAACTTGGAAACATGGGATTGAAGCTGGAGCAGATAAACCATGAAGCACGAACCTTATGCTCTTGGACATGGTGGTTTGTATCACAGGTCCTTGGGGGTGGAAGCAGCCACTGTGCAGAATTATGTGCTCTGCTCTAACAGCTTTGGGAGTTTTAGTTTTTGTTGAACATCACTTTATGCTACGTTCAAATACCTGTCCTGGCTGAGTACTGCTCTTGGCAGTGATTGTTTCTGCTGGTTTGGAGCTCTACCGGTTCGAAGTGGCTTCAGCTTCCTTTGCTGTACAAAAAGGATAGTTTGGGAATCCTTGTTCCAGGGATAATTCCTTTGGTAAAGAAGATTCTATAGATAGCAAACCCTGAGTGACCTGTATCAGTATTCCTTGTCCTAATAGATTTTATCTGACTAGGCAGTCATTTTTGCAGCAAAATAAGCTGATTTTCACTTAGCTTCACTTTAGCAGGTTACAAACCATTGGATAACAACATTGTGATTTTTCATATTTATGGTTTTTTACACTCTTTTCTCTGTTCTACCCCTTCTGAGTCCAATTGAACTCAGTTACAAATACGGTTACCCCATTTCCATCTCCCTTGACTTGTCCACATGTTTGTGGGGGCTCCCTGTTGAAACATGATGTTTCTATCAGTTGTGCTTTTGTGATGGAGATGCAATAAACACAGTTGGACAATTTTTATGGTGTTTTTGTAAATGAGATGACAGTGAGGTCAAAGTGTGCCACACCTGCTGCTTTACTCTTCTCTGCTGAGCTGGCCACCAGGTCAGTGAAAGAAATCAAACTGGTGTGGCATGATTTGCACTTGACAGACCTGCTGTTCACCTTCCATCAGCTTATTTCTTACACATACTCTTGAAACAATGGATAATTTGTCCAACACAAATTTTCCCTGGACAACAGGTAGGATGATTGATTGGATTGCAGGTACCTGGGGAGAGAAGTCTTGCTTGCTCTTTCCCCATCACCTCAGCCTCAGTGAACATCTGAAGAGACCTCATGGCCAAAGTTCTCTCTGTCATCTTTCTTAAGTAATTAAGGGCCAAAGAACTAAGGCTGAAATTGACATTTTGTCTTGAATCTGCAAAGTCTAGGAATGAGATGGGATCACCTTTTCTTTAACAGTATACAAAAGCTAATGGAGTAATTCAGTTTAAAATTTAATGCTGGGCTGAATGCCATGATCTTACAAGCCTCTTGGATTTTCTGGATCTATGCAATTGCTTCCCTTTTGCTGGGATATTACATTATGAAGTAAGTACTGTAGGACTAACAGGGTCTGGATGTTTATAGCAGTAATATTTCAGGAAACTTGGCTTCTGTGTGCTGGTTTTGCAGGATTAACTGGTCTTTCTCCTGTGACTCCCAAGCTGCTCAGGGTTTTTATTCAGAACTAGAATCTGTCTGCAGGATGTCAATTTTTTATTTTTTTTTCTTCTTGCAGATGATATAATTAAGCTGAACAAGAAAGAAGAGAGAAAGCAATATTCTCCCAAAATAAAAAGAGGACTTCAGCAGAACCGAACCCGACAGTTCAGGACATCAGGCTCCAAGTGGGGAATCCAGCAGCAGAAAGGTGTGTGTGCCAGAAGGGTGTGGATTGCACAGTGTCTCTTTGGAGCTGAAATGTGACCTAATGAAACACACGGATTGGTGTGGTCTACTCAGGTGTCTTTCAAAGAGTGTCATATACACTTTTGATTATAATTCTATTCTTTTCTTATCTTTTTATGTTTGGTTTTGTTTCTAGTTCAATGTGAGTGACACTTGACATGTTTGACTGTCAAGGAGCTTAGGTGATTGAGTGACTTGTCCTTGAGTCAAGGAAGGATTTATTTCTTTCAGCTTCTTTAAATTTATTTTAATTTGGAAAATTGTATTCCTACTCTGTCCTTTCTCAGAGATGGATAGAATGAGTGTGTGTGCCAAAGCCTGTGCATTAGGGAATGTGGAGGCCTTGACAGAGCTCAGAGCTTTGTGCAAAAGAGAAGCATATTTATATTTGCTGGGTAGAATTCTTGTAAGCCTCCCCAAAATAGCTGTTACTGCAGAGTGTAATGCTGGCTCTGGGATATATAAATGGATAGTGCAGAGTGTCTGAGTTGGCTTTTCTTGGTAAGAGCTTGGGATGCAAAGGAAGTACTGTGTCAGCCTTCTTAAGCCAGTGGTTTTACAGTGGAATACAAAAAGGGGGAAAATAATCATGTAGGCAGGAAGTGAAGAGAAGAAAAGTGCACAATAAGATCTCTGCTGTAGAATCCCTAAGTAACTGTCAGGGTGTTTTGATAACCAGGAGATACATTTTAAAATGATTCTCAGGCTTCAGTCCAGCCATGGCCGGCACCTGCTTGGAGTATAGACTGGGTTTGCTTTTTGAGGTAATCAAAATGGGGAAAAATACTGTCTGATCAGAAAGGTTATGGCCTCACTGCCAGCTGGTTTGGTGTGTAGGTTAATAGATGCAGTTTCTAGTTTAGTAGCATTCATTTAATACAAAGACACATCTGTCTGATCCCCATTTTAGCTTTGTCTTGGTCAGTGTTTGTTGTAGGAGCAGCTCATTGTTAGCATCTTGGACACAAATGTCTTTAGGGATTGGTGGAATGTCATGTGGCTCAGAGGAGTTTTAGTTTCTATGCAGGTTCACAGGGCAGTGTTACTTGTGTATCTTCAGTAAATTGGTGACAGTGCAGGAAAAAAATTTTACATCTCTAAGCCCAAGTGTGAGAATATTTGTGTGGGTGAAGAGTAAGTGACTTTAACTTGTAGGTTATCAAGCACGTAGGCTCTGTTTATGACTGCAGTTGTCAAGTGCAATTGCTTATCATCTAAAGGGCACAAGTATTAGAATTTAGAATTTTTGGAGAAACTTGAGCTGTAAACATTAAACTCTAAATACGACTGTCTTGGCAGTTACTTTTCTCTCCTGGAACCTTCCCTGCTTGCAAACTTTTCTTTGCAGAATTGCCAGATTCATGACACAGTGAAATGCTGTGAGTAGCTTTAACTGTTCCTTCATATACAGCTCCACACATTTGCTCCCATTAAAAACAAACCTCTCTTAAATTGTTTTTTGAACAGGAGGTGTCATTAAATAGTTCTTCTGAACATTCTATTTACTTACAGAATGTTATAGCTTTTAACTAGTGGATTTATTGCTGCTCTCTTGCTATTGAAGTTACTCTGATAAGTAGCAAATCCTCTGTTTGTGGACAGCTGCAGAAACCACAAATGATCAACAGCATTCAATTCCATGTGGTTTTAGAAGTGGCTGCCAAACTCTCTGGAAACAAGCAAGGAACTTGAGCTAGGACTCTTCTCTCTGTAGAAACAGAGAGGAACATTGTTCATTTGAATAAAAGTTGTCCTTGGTGATACACAGAATGCAACTGCACAAAGCCCTGTGCAGCCTGAGCTAACTCAGAGGTTGTCATTTGTTTGAGCAGAGGTTGGCTCAGAGACCCTGTGAGCTCCCTTTCAGCCTAAGCAGCTCTGTTTCCCAACTTTTTTCTTGGAAAAGACGAGCATTTGCTAACCAGCCACAAAATGTGGGTGTGCAGCAGTTCTCCATGGCAAATTGATCTGGTCTGTGACCTACCTCATGAGATGGCTCCTGTCTCAGGAGGAAGCACAGATTTATTATCAATTCTGTTAGAGTCAGATAGGTCAAAGGCAGATGTGTCTGTTCATGGAGAGCTGACTCCTGAGCCTTAAATTTATCTTGCAGTCTGAGGTTCCAGAGGAGATGATGCTCGAGGATCAAACTGAAGTATGATCTGTATTCATAGTGTGAAGTGAAAAGGCTCCAGACAGGGTTAACCAAACCTTGTAACTGGAGATACTGCAGACCTCAGACTTACAGGCCTTTTACATTCAAAGGCTGCTTTCAGTGCTCAGTTCCATCCAGGCTGCCATGCAGACTTCTAATTGAAAGCACTTCAAATGGGATGTAATCTGTACAGCGTTTAATATGACTTTGTGGGCCAGCTACTATATTCTTTCTTCTTAAGTCATGTCTTGGGAACCACTGATTTCAATAAATGGTGTTTGAAGTTGGGGTTTTTTTTCTTTAAATCAGACTGGTAATTGAAAGTTTGCTGAATGCGTAGAGAGCTGTATTGAGTTTTTGGGTTTGGTTTTGTGTTATTCAGCATTCAGTAAAGTTCCATTATTGAGTATTTTAGTAGCTTTCTATGCCAGAAGACTCTTAATTTATCCCTACAGACATGTCAAATAGAAAATTTTCAACAGAAATTAATTCAGTGAACCAGAACAAACCTGTGGTCTGTGTGAGAAGCTGATTATTGCTGTGCTGGGGCTTGGACCAGACCTGCTAAAGTAACTGAGTGACCCAATTGTCTGCAAGGGTAGTGATATATTCTGCTCTAAGACTTGAAGTGTGCAGCCAGATAACTTGCACTGCCCATGAGGCATCTTAAAGCTTTGAGCTCTTCCTTTCCATAGGAATTGCTGAAGGTTTTGTGCTTGTTGCAGGTTATGGTAAGAATCGTTTGGGGCGCAGAAAGAAGATCGCAGGGAAGAAACGTTCGTACGGAGTTAAAACTGGCCTGGCAGCCAAGAAGGCAGTGGGCTCACAGAATGGAGTCAGTCCTCTGAACAGACAGCCACTGAGTGAGAAGGTAATTCATGCAACCCCAGTGATTTGTGTCAGAACAGATTAAAAAGCTGAAACACAAGTGCTTCAGAACAGTGCTACTGAAATATAAAATGGAGACATATGGTACAAGCTTTTATTATATTGGGGATGTGTTAGCTGAGTTCTTGTTTGTTTTGAGGAGGCTGGGTAATGACTAGGTGTGAAAGTAATTTTTAACGCTTAACTGGGTTGTAAGTCATGAAAGTTGAAGTGCAAAAGTATATTCTGTGCAGGTATGGAAGGAGTTACTGCATTTGTAGAAAGAAAATTGGCTTTGTCACAAACCATTGATTCAGCCAACCTGCAGGTGTTAAGCATGTGCTGTTACTAAATCGAAATTTTTGCAGAATACTAAACTCCATCAGTAGCCTCTCAGTTCTGCAGTCCTCTAGTGCATCATTGCCTGCTCCATGTCATTCAGTATTGTGGAACAGGGATTGCCTTTGGGTTTGTGAAGGAGACTAAAGACATATGTATTTTGTCAGTTTAGGGAGACACAAAAATCAAAAAATAACTGCGAAGCTCTGCTTTTTTCTTTTCTCCTGATAATGTGGAAAATACAGAATTCCTGAAAGTGTAGAAGGTTTTTTCAAATTGCAGTAGCCTGTGAAAGGCAGGCAAAGCCAATTTGTTCTGTATGCAGTTTGTAAATGGACACTGAAAGAGAAGTGTTTGTTGTGTACAGTATACATTATGCTGTATCTATCTATTGTTTTTTTAAGAATGCACAGCGGAATTATCCAGTTCTGAAAAGGAAAACAAACCTGCAGAGACAATCTGAAATGCAGAGAAAACAAGCTCCTGCCCTCAGGAGATCTGCCCTGCTAAACAGGAGGTAAAGTACTAAGCCTGCTTTCTGAACTCTCCTTGGCAGCTTTCCATAGTGAGTCTTGTTTGGCAGGACCAAGTTCAAGAGAAGATGGTAGGTACTGGCAGTAGCAATATGGTCCAGACTGCCTTGTGTGTGAAGTTCTACAGATCTGGAAGTCAAGCATGGAACAAGCATGGTCTCAATACAAAGCCAGATTTATTGCCATGTGGAGCACTCAGGAAGGGGTTACCTCTGTTTGTGAGCACCTGGTGTTCTGCCTTCAGTTAGTCACAGGCAGCCTGTATTTGAGTAACCTGGTGTAGTGGGAGATGTCCCTGCCCATGTCAGGGGGTTAGAACTAGGTGAACATTGAGGTCCCTTCCAACCCAAACCATTCTATGAATCTGTATGGAAATGGCCAACGTTTCCATATAGCATTAAGCCATGGTTTTGTGAGGTTTCTAAGCCAAATGCCTGTGTGGCAGCTGGTGCCATCTGCAGCTCCATGGAAGCCATTGCATGTCTTATTTGTGCTGGAATTAACAGGTCTGTTCTAAACTGCAACCAAATGGTCTCCATGGTGAAAGTTTTCACTAGGTGACTCCTGTGGAAACTGGAAACAAACCTTTTTTATGCATAGCAAATTTATTTTTTTCATCTAATCAGCAATGTTTTAAGGTTCTGGAGGATACTGAGCCAAGTGAAAAGCAGAATTAATGACCATCCTGTCCTGTGGCATAGGAGCATTTAGGCTTCTATGTAACAGCAGTGATTCCTCCTTTAGGAGTAATGTGTTTTGTTCCTAGTAGATGAGGAGCTTATCCTGACTGAAGTGCTCAGCCTCAAAGGGGCAGCACTGCAGATGTCCTTATGGGTGTACTGGGCACTTTCTTGACTTTCAGAGTAGTCTCTTTAATGTGTTACCTGTGGAGCCTTTTGATAACTATATTTTTTTATGACTATTACAGGAATAACATTCCATCCACTTTTGTCAGAATTGCAAACAAATTAAACCAGCAGAAAGACACTCGTCAAGCAACTTTCCTGTTTAGAAGGGGCCTGAAGGTAATAAAAATTACTGAAAACAACAGGAAAATTGTGCCACAGGTTCTAAGATAACCTGTAACACTGATATTAATAAATCAACTTCAAATACCAGATCTGAGTAGAAACTTCAGGTGGACTGGGAAACAGGAACAGGTTCTTCTAGAGAAATGTCCTTGTCCTTTTCAATCACTGTAATCCATTGAGTCTTGCTTCCTGTTCCAGTGTAGCTGGGCTGTTCCAAGGGCATGGGACTTGTCAGTGTTCGAGGGTAGTTGCAAGGTATTCATTTTTCCTTACAAAATTAAGTGTCAGGAAGCACTGTCCAGCTTTCTGAAGTTGCCTTCAGGTGCATAACAGAGCAGAAATACGTTTTGGAGTCTGATTGTGGTTAGGTTTGCTTTTTTAGTTATTCTGGGGTTATTTATTTTATTTTTCAAGTTCTTATTTGAGTTACTTAATGATTTTTTAGTTATTTTGAGTAAGATCAAGAGACCAGAGTGTGCAATGAATGGCAAGTGGTGGTTTAGGTTTTCATTTGTGCCCTCATTGTACATCTGCTGCTGTTGTGACTGTAAGTAGCTGCTCTCTTCCTTCCACCCAGACAGGATCAGGAACTGGGCAGGTTTTTCTTGCTGCCCTGGTAACATTTTGGTGTATGTTGGTAAAGTGTCTGTGTGACATAGTCCTCCAAAATGTTGGCATCATTCTATTGGTTAAGTTACTGCCATTGGCAGTTTTGTTTAAATCATTTTGTGTTCTTAAAGTAGTTTCTTTCCAGTGTCTTACAGAGGTGACAGAACAGTTATCTGTGAGGTCCCTCTGAAAGTGCAGCCCTGTTTGTGCAGAGTGTGCAAACAGCATTAAGCTTCTATATTTGAACTTCTGTATTTCCAGCTGCTACAATAGGAATTGAAACAGTATGCAAATCCAGTGTTTGCATTGATGTGTTTTCAGGTGCAGGCCCAAGTGCAGTCAACAGATGATCTTGATAATCAGACAGTAAAGAGAACTCGACAGTAAGTATTTGATTTGGAAAACTTCAGTTTTTGCTCATAAAGATTCTTATTTTAGCTCAGACTTCCTGGCTATGATAATTGAATGGGGTGGGGATTTTCCCCTGTAGGCACATCAACTAGAGTGACAGTGATCCTCCCCCTGTTCTCAGTTATTTCCAAAATTATGTTCTGACTTAGTCAGGAGGAGTTTGTTTGCATCAGATGCTTGCAGGAATGAGGGGGAAGATGGTAGCTGCAGAGGACCAGACTAATCTCTAGCACTCATGAATACTGCATAGACTGGAAGAAAAATTCAAATGGGAACATTTGAATGGCATGGAATGAAAAATTCAGTGTTCTCCTGAGCTCTTGATGTAATTGTCATTTTCTTTAATATGCATATAAGCCTGTGAAGCAGTTTGGAAATGAAAAAGGCAGATCACGAGGTGAACACTCAGCTCTCCCCCCACATATTCTTCCCCTATCATTCTGTGCCTGCTGGGCTCTTCCCAGCGTGTTTGTTGGTAACACAACAGGCTGAGCAAGCAGTGGGTGCCACAGACTGCAGTCTGTCACCTCTTTGGTTTGCTGTGAGGACCATTTTGGCCCCATCTGTGGCAAGGAAACTGAATGTTTTGAGAAAGTGAGGATTTCTGTCAGTGCTGTAGTTCTGGTGCACCTCAACAGAGTGTGATCTAGTGTTTACCTGAATACATTTAGGTAATGTAAAAGGTACAGGAATCAATAGCCAAGTGTCTTGTAGCTGCATGTGGTCTTAGTGCTGGCCAACATTCTGAAAGCTTGTGCATTCTTTAAGGTTTTGAACACACCTTTAAAAATACCTTGACTGAAATTTCTGCAACATTTTTGTGATTTCTGTTTTCAAACTAGATGGCGAACTTCTACCACAAATGGAGGGATCCTGACTGTGTCTATTGACAACCCGGGAGCAATCATAACCCCAATGTGAGTTTTCAAAGAAATTCTGAAGTGTTCTGAACATAACTGAGATCACTGCTCTGAGCCATTCAGCAAGTTCCTTGCAGATAGTGTTTGAGGTGACCTCAAAGTCACAGCTGCTTTTAAATCTGGACCCTTCCTGAGTGTTTCTGAGCTATGTTTGAATAATACCACAGCTGCATTTCACACGTCATCTCCCAGTCAGGAGCTTCATGTGGTTTATAGAGGGAAGAGTGCTAGGCTGGTGGATTTTCACCTTGTCTGCCCCTTCCAAATCAGATCATGTTGCAGCTGTTTTCCTTCCCTATCTGAATGGAAATGAATGAGCACTGAGTTGATGAGTGATGGTAATAGTTCCTCCCTGATTCATAAAAATGCTGCTGGAGTTATGCTTAGAGACCATTGCTGTATTTGCCTTTGGGAAGTTGCTGGTACTCTTGATTATAGCTGTTGTATTTTAAAAATGTCTCGTAGCTTTTTTTCAATAGTAGGATTTTATCAGTGAGGAAGACTGTATCTTTTTTTTTGTGTCTGTGTGTGTTTATGGACATAATTAACTGCAAATGGTATGTTTCCCAGTAGGACTGACAGTCAGTCCCAGCTTCCTGCTGGGACACTTGCTGTCTGATAACAATAACAAATGGTCCCTTTATAGTTCTGCCTGACTTACCTTCTTGAATTTGTGCCCTCCAGCTATTCAGCCAGCCTGATCAAATGGGTTGCTGAAAAATTCATGCTTCTATCAGTGTTAAGGCTTTATTGCAGAAAAGACATATTCATCATGTCCTTTGTAACATTCTTCTCTCACAGTTCCCAGAAGTTACGATTAACTCGTACTCCTGTGCCACCATTTCTGATGAAGAGGGACCAATCCGAGGAGAAGAAGATTCCAAAAGGAGTTCCATTGCAGTTTGATATTAATAGTGTTGGAAAACAGGTAAATCCAGTTTGTTTTCATAACTGTGGAAGTACTTTCAAGATGGATAAAAGCCAGTGAGGCACTTTCCTCCTAGACTCACTAGTGACAGAAAAGGGAACTAGTGAGTACTTCTTGTTTCCAGTTCTTCCACTGACTCGCTATGTAACTTCAAGAAAGTAGCTAAACTCACTGTTCCTGTTCTTCTAGTTCATGTCTTGCAAGCCCACGTGATGTAAATGGGATTTTAAATGTTGAATATTTCTAAAAGCCTCCTGGTGTTTCTGCTGTGCTTGCATCAGCAGCTGGGTGTAATTTGGGGATGGAATCATTCTGCTGTGTAACCTGCATGGAACCCTGGCAGCTGAATTTATAAGGCAAACTTTGCTATGTGTCTAGGTAAAAAACTAAATCAAGTGTGATAACATAAAGGCTTGAAAGGTGAGCAGTTTTTCACAAATTCCATGAAGAGAGACGATTTGGTGCAGGAATCCTAGTGCTGCCATTGAAGGAATTCTCAAAGGGTGAGAGAGTTAGGTGCTGTTCTTATCATCAGCTCCATAGTGCCAGCTGTACAAAACTGCATGGGGTCAAGGCATTGGGCTGGATCTGTGCCTTCCAGGAATAAGCAACATGTCAAAAATAGTCTACCATTCTATTGTAAAGTTACTTGAACTTTTGGACTAGACTGCAGCCTGCTGCCCCAGCTGGGTGAACTGGAAAGCAACCTGCACTAGCACAGTGAAAATGCTGCATTTTTGAAGTTGCAGAGAATCTGTGTGGGGAAGTGTGTAGTGAAAGTTCCCTTTTTCAGCTGTCCTCAGTTTAACTTAGTTTGAGTTGACTTCGAGTATTGACATGGTGTAGTGCTTATGGTTAAATGACTTTCTTTTTCAGACCGGGATGACGTTGAACGAGCGATTTGGGATCCTGAAGGAGCAGAGAACAGCACTGTCTCAGAACAAAGGGAGCCGCTTTGTAACAGTGGGATAACCTGCAGCTGGACTTGGGCACTGATCCCACCACTTACCTAGGAACCTGAGATTAAAATGGGCAAAAGAATGCAGCATCTGTTACTGAAGTTCTCCAGACTTCTTGCTAAGATGGTGACAGAACTATCTCTCTTTATTACTTTTACTTTGAATGGTAAAAGACATGATGCCCCGAGGGAAACTTGAGAAACTGATCTGCTGGAGCAGCACCATCACCTGGTTGGAAGAGATTCTTTTGCCCAGCTGAGGACAAACACTGGTTGTTTTTTCCATTTAGGAGTGCTCAGTATCTGTTGTCTGACCCCTCTGTTATGGTAGAGATTGTGTAAATGTTTCATTACAAACCCCATTTTAGGGATTTTTTTAGGGGCTGCCTGTGAGCTTCCCTTTAGACTGCAGTTTGGCACTGAGCCTCAGTCCATGAATACTCTGGTAGCAACATAGCAGTCATTTTCCATGGGAGCATTGGTTGTGTATTTCTTTGTGCTTTTAAAGTTCCATTCTTTTCCTTTCTTGAAAACTAAATGTTTGTCATCCTCACTTTCACAAATAAAGCTGTTAGCTGAGACCCAAAATATGTAACTGGAATGGAGACTATTCTACTCTTACCCTTGAAAGTGGTCCAGATCACAGGTCATACTGAAAGAATATTGCAGAGGCACTAGGAGAGTCATTTGTATTACAAACAGCTCAAGTTATCCTCTTCCTCTCTAAATGGGGTATATCTGTCTCCTTTTTTTCCTAAACTTTTGCTTTTTATTTCTTTTTGAAAGTTTCTTCACAAACTTAATGCAATAACTTCACATTCTTGAATAATTTTGTGAGAGCAAATACGAGAGTTCACAAGGAAGTCAGTGGAAAGGTAGAGTTCCTTACCCTTCCAGAGAGGATTCTCATCCTGCATACCCCAGAGGGTTTTCTCTGGCTTATACAAACAGCCAGAGGTAAGCAATGTCATGGCACTTGTTTGTGTATACCAAAGAGAGGTAAGATGTGAAGCTGATCTGTAGTGATCAGACATCTGGGAATTGTCTGAAACTGGGGAATGTTGCTGGAGGAAAGCCCTCAGTTTGTCAGCATTAAGCAGGAACATGTAGTCACTGGCATTAAGCTTAACATGGCATCCTAATCTGCAGGACAGCAACAACTAGAGAATCCTCAGTCTGAATTTATATGACCCCTAAAACTGAGGCAGCTCTTCAGAATTGCTTCTAGACCAGGAACTGATGAGCCTAGCACTGCTCTATAGCAATGAGGTTTAGTTACAGTCAGGTAAGGGAATGGTTGGGTTGCTGCATCCAGAGAAGTTTATGGTGTTTGAAGCAGGTTTAACTCCTTTTCGCATTCTTGACGAATTTACATTTGACTTCTGGCAGAGTTGGTTTTCTTGCATTTCTATCTCAAATTCCAAGTTAGCTAGCATATACTAGCAACTTCAACATTGAAGAGCATTTGACAGCAGAAGGGCTGCCTTTTTGTATAGCAGATAAAGTCAGATTGAACTCTGATGCTATATAGTACTTATACCCTTATTTTTAATGTTGAACAATATACCTTAGCAGAAGCAAACTAAACGTAATGGTGTTAAGGTTTCTTTCTCAATTACTAGTTGGAAGTTATTATTTTCTTTTGGAAAAAAAATGTCCCACTGTTAGAATTTGAGTAGATGAAGTGTTGTCAGTCATCCTGTTTCAGTATATACATTTTCCATGTGCCAGGATGCAACAAAAAAACTTCTTTTGCATCAACATAGATGCAAAACATTGATGCAATGCATCGAAAAATGCTAGTTTGTATTTAATGAGATGATGCTTTACACTGTACCTTTGGTATTTTTTGGAGAAGTTATTACATTTGATCTATTCTGAAGCTGTTAAATTTTTTTTTTAAATAAAAAGTTACAGGTTTCATAGTGTCTTGTTCCTGTTATGACCACCTGGGCAATACACTGGTGATGTCAACCTTCCTATAGCCTGCAAGGGGTTCTTAGTGATTAAGTTCTTTATTAAAGGTTCTGAAGAACACAGCAAAGAGCAGCCTGATTTCACAAGGGTTTGCACTCATTGCCCAGCTTAATATCCTGAAAACTGAGCACTTCTTGGAGTGGCAGTGTATAGGCTCTCTTGCATTTAAATGTGTCTGTGCAGGGCCAGGAGTTGGAGTCGATGATCCTTGTGGGTCCCTTCCAACTCAATATTCTGATTCTCTGTCAGCTATCAATGCATGTTTCAGTAGCACTGTCTAATGTAGTGGTTTGGTGTGATGAGAGTACCAATCTGTCAGCCCAAGCACTGATTGTTGCTGTGACATGTCTTGCTCGTGAGCAGTCACTGTTGTCTAAACCTTGTGTTACAGAACAGCTTGATTGGTGTCTGTGGCCGTGTCTGGGCGTGCCATGCTGGCAGGAGGCATCTGCAGTGCAAGTGATGCTGCTATTAACTGGTGGTGCAGGAAAAAATTACTGCCTGTAAATATATTTGATAAAGTGTTGAGTATGGTGAGTGTCTTGCACCTGGTTATCTACCATCTTTGTTATTGCCAGCCCAGGTCTGTTGGCTGTCAGTGTCAGACGGTTTGGACACGCAGCAGGCCCAGGAAGCAGCAGAGTGGTGCTGTCCCAGGGCAAGATGGCATTTATTCATCATATTCAGGGGTCAGAATGGGCCTTAAAGATCACCTAGTTCCAAATCCCTGCTCTGGGCAGGGACACCTCCCCACTAGACCAGGATGGTGAAGCCCTAATCCAGCCTGGCTTTGAACATTGCCAGGGTTGGGGCAGCCACCTCCTCCCTAGGCAACCTGTGCCAGTGTCTCGCCACCTTCACAGTAGAATTCTTTTTCCTACTATCTAACCTAAATTCCCCCTCCTTCAATTTGAACCCGTTACCCCTTGTCCTGTCACTGCAGTTCCTAACAAAGAGTCCCTCTCCAGCTCCCCTGTAGCCCCTTCAGATACTCAAAAGCTGCTCTGAGGTCTCCATGCAACCTCTTCTTCTCCAGGCTGAACAGCCCCAACTTCCTCAGCCTGTCCTCATAGGGGAGATGCTCTAATCCCCTTATCAACCTTGTGGCCTCCTCTGGACTCACTCCAACAGTTCCATAATTTTTTACGTCGAAGGCACCAAAACTACACGCAGTGTTCCAGGTGGGGTCTCACGAGAACAGCACCAAGCTGGTCAGTGTTCAAGCAGCATTTAGACAAACACTCTCAGCCACATAGAAACGTAGAAACCTGGTTGGAAGAGACCTCAAAGATCATCGAGTCCAACCCTACTGTCGTTACTGGACCATGGCACTAAGTGCCACAACCAGTCTTGTTTTGAAAACCTCCAGGGATGGTGAATCCACCACCTCCCTGAGCAGCACATTCCAATGCCTGGCTACTCTCTCTGTAAAAAATTTCTTCCTAATATCCAAAATAAACCTCCCCTGGCAGAGCTTGAGTCTGTGCCCTCTTGTCCTACTGCTGGGAGATCAACCCCCACCTGACTCCAAGCTCCTTTCAGGTAGCTGTAGAGGGTGATAAGCTCACCCCTGAGCCTCGTCTTCTCCATGCTAAACAATCTCAACTCCCTAAGCCTCTCCTCATCCCACTTGTCCTCCAGTCCCTTCACCAG